TTAGAGATAAATTACTTGTAATTTTGAATAACTTGATCCCAAATAAACAAGAGCAGGATAGCTGAATTAGAAAAAAAAAAATAAAACTAATATATCAAAGAAAATAAATACTAATATTAAGGAGTATAAAAACACTAAACTAAAATCTAAAAGAAACTATTGCTAAAAAGAAGAAAAAACTTGCTAACTAGGTAAAAATTTCTAATTATACAAAGTAATGATTTATTATTAAGTGCGAGAGTCTTAACAAGAAATTTAAAACTAAAATAAAATGTACTATAACTCATGCTAGAGGCTAAAAATTATATACAGGTGACTAGAGAATGCCTATATATCTTTTTTTACTTTGCTTTACTCTTTCAATTAAATCTATATCTTCATTTAAAAGTATAAAAATTTTAGAATCTCTATATGACCTGTTTAATGATAGTATCACATATTTGTATATCCTCAATACAACATGTAAGATATTCTTCTAAACACTTATCTAGTTATTAAATTTGCAAATACTATCTATTTTACACGTGTTGTTTGTTATCATATAGAGTTTTCAATATAAAAGTGATAAACATTGCTGATTTTTTGGAGGTTGTTTGCCGAATTCTTTACTTTTTGTTGAAAGTTATAGCCAAAAGTATCGAAGAAAAAAAATACTGTATTTGCGAGAGCTCAAAACAATGAAAGTATTTTCAGTTATTTTTTATAGAATTAAAAAGCTTTAGATACTTAAGTTAAGAATTTTCACTACTACTGTTATCAAAATAACTCTTTTGGCTTAAATGCTGAATATACAAAGGAGTCCATCAAGAAGAATGCTTGGTCCAGAACACAAACTAACTATATATACCTGCTTCTCAGTATTTCATATATAAGTCTTCATCAATAACAGTACCAATAAGGAATCTCAAAAAACTTTGAACTTTTTAAAGCCTTGAATCTTCAAACTATTTTGATCTAGTCTTGGTTTAAGTAATTGTCAAAAAGAGTTAAATTTAAAAAAATATTTATAATATATTATTATTTTTTTTTTTATAATCAAAGTTAGCCTCTTTGGCTTCCTGCATTTATTAGATTTATAGGATTATGTGATGCTCTTTTCAAAAGGGCTCTAGACAAGTACATTCTGATGAAGGTATATTCTAGCTATACCTGTGCCTTTTGAGCGTTTAATTAAGTATTTACCTATTATTAGATTCTATACTAGATGCTATATCTATAATCTACTATTATTTAAATTACTCAATTAAACTTTCTGATCCAAGTTTCCTATGCCAATCCATTTAATCTTATTTAAAATATGTAATACATAAGTCAGTCCAAGTTTTAAGATCATCATGTATCTGCCTATAGAACTATTAGCATGGTTAACTAATTTATCCTCGAGTGCATCATTTGCTAGAGCAGTCTGGTACCTACTATTACCATATTATCTAGTCTTTCAATAACTTATACCGAGTCTGAAGACAAGTACTTGCGAGCTGAGGCCACTACAGTTATCTACTACCACCCTTATAGAGTTTGCACAAACCCCAGTACCTATTATACAGACCATCTTCATACTTCTATTACCCAAAACTACCAATTCAGATGACTCGGAAAGAATATGACCTGTCCTTGATTCCTATAATTGGGTCCTTTTTCTTTGGTTACTCTTCCAGTAGCCTGGTTAGTAGAGTGCCTTGTCTAGCACTTCAGTCCTGTTCGGTTCTCATTACTTCTGAAAATAATTCTTTATGTAGTATCGTCAAAGATCTGTGCTATCTCTCTACTTAGGTCTTGTTAAGCAGACTCCCGTATCCTATCAATCTGCTAGATTTATTCAGTAGTTTCACTTAGATTTCATGTAACTCATACATTATACTACATGTTTCACTACCTTTCAGTACAAACTGGTACAACCTTGTTACAGGTTTTATAACCCAATAGGATACAGTCTTCCAAATGCATTTTTCATAAATTTGAATTTTCATTACTGGGATTCAAATTCTGGTCCTGCTGCTTAGAGGTGCAACAACTTGCCAACTTCACTAAGTTACTACACTCTATTTATAATATATAATATAATTATAATATTATTATATATAGAGCAAATTTATTTATCACGTAATGCGATATATACTAAATATCGCCTCAATATAAATCACATGATATTTATATTATTAATAAACTTCCCAAACAAAAAATCTTGAACATATGATAATTGACAGCAAAATAACAAATAGTTAATCTTTATTTGGTATAATGTAGCACCATTGGGAAAATTCAAAGCAAATATTTTGCCAAAAATCGCCAATAACTTAAAAATCTGCATAGAAAACTGAAACACCTTTAGTGCTCTAAAAAAAAAGTTCTTGGGCGATTTTACTGCTATATTTCATTAACACCTAATTCTAAAATAAAGCTAGTTCTAATATCAACTCAATCATTATATATCCAAAATTTTTTGCTGCTACACTAGGGAAATTATTATTAAAATAAGAGGCTAAAACAGGTTAATTCAATATACTAACCTAACTAATATATCAGAGAAGTAACCATAATATATTAGAAATATAATTTTGGTTAAACGATTCCTAAACACATATTTCAAGTCCAACCATAGTGATAAGTATGCATTTAAATAAAGTAATCATTATCTTGGCTAATCCTAAAAATGCCTGAGGCTAAAAGATGAAATTTACTTATTGACAACCTATTAAAATTCCTTATTTTCTAATCTACTCTAACACTACAAAAAAAGGTAAGGCTCAATAAAACAAATACAAAATTTCATCTTTGGCCATGATAATCATTTATAAAGAGTATACACTTATACACTTGCAATAGCTAATAATAATAACATACTCACAGAGATCTATAATAAGCCTATAGCAAATAAATTTAAGATATAAACTATAATGTTTTCAATATATCACTATGTATATATATATAAGTTAACTAATTAAAAAAAATAGCTAACAAGTACTATATAGTTACCAATTCGATCCAGACTTAATTAATATATATAAAAATAAAGTAAACAGAATTTAAATATGCAAATTGTTAATTATATTTGAGTATTTTTCTTATTTGGACATCTAGGTGCATAATAACCTATTTTATGATACAATCCACATTTGCATCTACTTATACCGGTTTTATTATTTTCAGCTTCAACATCTTCAAAAGATGCCTGTTGTGTTTTACTACCACTTGCTTTACATGTTTCTTCATTAAAGGCTTTCAATTATTTGCTAGGAGGTCTACCTTTACCTCTGCGTATTGCTAGATCTTCAATATTATTAACATGATAAATGCACCCATCAGACAATTTTATACAACTAGAATCTTGAGTTTCAATAAGTACTAACTGATCTTTATTGCCTTATATTGCTTTTTTTTTAGCGATATAAGATAAAATAAGCCCATTTAAGTAATTTTAATCATCGTCTTCTAATAAATAATTTAACGCTTTCTTAAAATGACCCAGCATATAACCATAATCTATTTTTTTTTTGCAGATGGTATTGAACTTAAACTTCTTGAACGTTATAATAATGACTAGAAATAAGACTCTGCACATGATTATGTTGATATTCTTGAGAAGAAGTACTAACAAATGGCTCATTACATATAGAATCTACATTTTTCCAGGCACTGTTATTCAACTATCTTGTTGCTAATAACATTACATAAAACAATGAATTCAAATTCTCAACTATTAATTTAAAATAATGATGGCAAATAATTCCATGAGAAACTAATAACAAACATATACACAAATGTGTACTATCGTTGAGTATAATAATATTTTTATTTGAGTTTGATAACATATATGGAATAATTCGTCAAATTTCTTTAATTAATACTTTTGAGACAGAGTTTAAAAGCGCCTTTAAATATGTTTGCCAAAAATCATAATAATAATCAACATTTTCAATTGCTTCTTGATCTTGACTCTAAATAGATGAATTATTTATTTAGCAACTAATTGCAATTTAACCTCACTGGTGAAATTTAAATTTTACCAGCACCTATGAATGTAGAATGAACTTAAATAAAAAAATAACTTACCGATTGATTACAATTTATTTCAGTAAATTCATTTTGATCTGACTTATCAAATTTATAGGCATAATCAATATCTAATTTTTCACACTTATAAAGAACTGACTCGCACATTTGTTTATAAATCTCTTTGACAATCTGTAGGGTATAATATTTTTGAATCATATGATTAACATTGCTGAAAAACCTTTCAACAACAAATGAATCATAATGATTCATTGATTTATATTTCTATTCTATAAAGTCTTTATTTAATGTTTCCTTTTGCATATAAAGTTCTAAAGCTTCAGCTACATTTGACATACTAGTACTAGAAGCAATTGCTTTATGAATAATAGCATTAATTGATTCCACACGTTGTGTAGATTGCATTCTAACCATAAACATTCGATTTATAAATACTCTTGCCCATGATTGTCGGGTTGAATAAATCAAATCATTCAAATATTTACTAGCACTTAGATACTTTTCTAGTAAAGACTGAAACCGGTGCTCAAAAACATCAATATATAAAGAATTTCACATTCTTCAAAAATTACAAATAAACTCCTTAAAATTTGCATTTCCAAGTTTGGATTTAAGCTGTTTAGATAAATTTTAAAAAAGTGCCAAATATAATGAACATAGTAGGAATTTTTATATATTAATTTACATACCGCATCCATTACAGGATCTATATCAGTTATTATAACTTGTGGTTCAGCACTAGTCGTATCTAAAGTTTGTTGCAGAACCCATTTGTAACTTTCCTGAGTCTTATTGCTTAAAAAAGCCTGTGCTCCCAACCATAATTTTCCATTATTGTCAACAAGAATAAATAATGATAAAGGAAAATTATATTTATTTGTTCTTGAGGTATTGTCATATAAAACAACATCTGAATATCGCGACTATAAAGCAACTTAATTTGCTGTTATCAAAAAATGCCACTTAGCCGATTACTATCTGAATTTATTAGTGGTTGAATGAATATTACAGGATCCTCCTTTTGTTGTTCTAGTAAAAATTTTAATAAATTGGATGCATCAGATCTATCAATCTTTTGTTCACGCTTAATTTTTTAGATTGCATTTGATAAATCTTATGTAAGAAAAAGTCGACTAGGAAATAAAGACTATAACAAATTTCTTATAGTATATATGTCACAATGTTTATACACAACAGCACGTTCAATTTCACTTATCACAGACTCATTGAATTTTCAGAATGCTATAGCAAACCTTGCATTATCCATAATAATATCATGATTATATATAAAGTGAACAAGAGTAATATGCATATAATTACCAATTTCCAGGTTATTTAAATTAACATGCCATTTACAATTAGATTTTTTTGATCCTTTCTTACATTGTAATTTGATGGGCATCGTTTTCTTAAACTTATACTTTTTAGCCTTTTCATATATGTATGTTTTTTTTTGATCATAGGATCACCTGATATGCTTAATTTAGACTTATCATCAGGAAAATTTTTTTGGCACAGATCTGTGAAAACCTGTGAAAATGCAGATTATTGCAGATTTTTTAATACA